ACACACACATACACCAAAAAAAATTGAAAGCCAGAGAGAAGAAATAAGCTTTAAGTTTGGACTTATAAATAGACAGAGTGGGTGCTGATCTAATGTGTAGTGGTAAACTTTTTCAAAGATTGGGATCGGCTGCCTCAAACGCTCTACCACCCCTATGTTTCAGTCTGGTTCTTGGCACCTTGAGTTGAATTTGATTCCCTGACTTAAGTGATCTAGGGGGCTGATGAACAGAAATTAGGTCAGATAGATATGATGGCGCAAGCTTGAAATCAATTCTATAACTTTCAGGCAAGCAGTAAAGGGAAGCAAGTATAGGCGTAATGTGCTCCTGCTTACGTGTACGCGTCAATAACCTTGCAGCAGAGTTCTGTACTAATTGCAGTCGTGCAAGGACGGCGTGAATAAGGCCAAAATAAAGCAAATTGCAGTAATCCAAATGTGATGAAATGAAAGCATGAATGACCTTTTGTGTATCCTTTAAATTAAGAAATGGCTTAATTTTTTTTAGATTTGGCGAAGCTGGAAAAAACTAGACCTGACAATTGAATTGACTTGCTTGTCCATTCAATTGCTTTTAAGGTCACTGTCCATAATAAAGCCCAAGTTTTTAACATGGTTTCATGTCGCGTTCAAGATGAGTGAGCTTGGCTTTTAAAGTAGCTGCTGAAGTAAACGCTGAATCAAACACAATAATCTCAGTCTTCAATTCCTTAAGATGCAGGAAATTTAGAGACATCCAGCTTATCAAATAATAAATGGAGTGGCTACAAAAATCCAAAAGAAAAACACCCAGAATTGCTGATAATATCAGGAATTCTAAAATCCATCTTAGACTAATAATGTATCTGCATTCTAGTCCAGGCTGGTTTTTTGCTAGTCTAGCAAGTGTACCAGCAAACATTTTCAGGCAAAAAAAACCTTTTCAAGTTTGTTGGGGTGTAGGCAGGATGTATAACTAAAAGGCTATGAATGCTACCAATTCTGATGTTCATAGATATTAAGAGTAGAAAATAATTTAGATTTTTTTTGCTTTAAATAATTTTTTTTGCCCAATCAAAATCGTTCTAGCCATTGACACAAGAATGACAGTGGGCCGTGACAGCAGTTCATTTACCTGTGTCGTAGCCATTTTCCAGTTTGCAGATGAAAGCATGGGCATTGGCTTTGCTGACCCCTAGTATACACACATGCACTCAACTGTCTATCTATACATAGTTTGTCTCCTTAGTTTATGAACTCTTTGAAGAAAATATAAGAAATAAAAATATATGTTTGTGTGTTTAATACTTTATACTTTATGTGTTTAATTACCATATTTACTCATATTTTAGGTTCATGTGAATTGCCTTCTCAAACTTGATGGGGATCAAGTGAATTGATCCTTAAAGGGGTCCTATTATGCTTTTTCACTTTTTCAACTTTCGTTCAGCATGTCTCCGAAGATATAGATCAAAGTCTGGGATAGAGGTGGATAAATATTAGTAACTCCTTTTAACTTAAACATGCTTTTGTGGGTTGCAAGGGCTGCAGATTTAGCTGATGCAACTTTTCTCTACTTTCTATATCACCAGATATATTCCTGAAAATGTAATTCTTTTAAAGCAACAAAGATATACCCTGATGTTTCTAGCAAGGTCCGACTGATAGAGGATGAAAGAGACAAGATTTCCTGTGCTCATCTGTCCATACTGGATGAAGAGTCTCCCATAGTAAAGCACAGCCACCTTCATTCCCACTTCTGTCATCTGAAAACCACATATACGGTCAAGAAGAAAAGATCCACAGTAATGCAGTTCCATATCAACAAGTTTGCTTTAAAGAAAATAAACACATATGTACTTTAAAATTAATGGGCTATCACATTAAAAGACTAAACTAATACTAACCCGCCTAACTAGCAGGTAAATAGCCCTGACTGTGTCCCGTCGGGTTTTAAGATTATGGGTTTTCATCAAGTGGACATCATAGCGATGGGCTTCACCAAGTTCTGTCCTGAAACTCTTTACCGTCCTGACTCCTGACACCGCCTCCCCAGCAGTTTCACTGGCTTGTGCAATGGAATCCTGAACTTCTTTTGAGAGTCTCTAAAAAGGAGCATGAAAACTTGACAAGTAATATATGATTTTCATATTTAAAAAATCCATCATTTATCACGGTATTAATTTTCGTTAACCCCATACCTGATAATGTGTGTCATATATGTTCTGCAGTAAGCCTGTCAGTGGCGTCTCCATCAGCATCAGCAGTGTAAGCTTCCACGAGAGGCTCAGCATCAGATACAACATGCCCAGCGTCTTAATCAGAGTCCGCAGAAGGACATTGACATTCAGGGCTACAGCCCGACCCATCAGAGTAGTGTCTGTGGAGAGTCTAGATGTGATATCACCTGAAAGACAGATTCAGTGGTGCATGGATAGCCTACGTCGGCTAAATAACCTGCGAGCGTAAATGAACAAAGCGAACCTATTCTCGGGTATTTTCTTGTCGGTAACGTTTTGCTACGTTCACACGGAGTGCGAGGTAATCATTTCTTTACACAGCGCCGGGGCATTTTAGGACACCGACATTATTTAGCTTTTACTTTCAGTTTCTCAGGATAAGGGATTTTTCCTTCCACATAGGCTACAACAAAAAAGGCTGTAAGCGTAAGCGTTCATTAAAACCTTCACTCAGTCATACATTTTTAAATCACAAATCAAGTCAGTTAATAGGCTACACAAAATGTGTAATGACCTTCAGATGGAGCAGTTAGGCTATACCATAATAATATTATCAAAAATAATATAGGCTGTATCTTCAAGACAAATTAATAAATCTTTTTAGGACATGTCTATTTGTTATTGTTCAGGAGCAACAAATATATTTCTTTTACAAGGAGCCATAACAGAAAACTTGCTCTATAACCCGCCTCCTTCATTTCTGCCTAACAAATGATGAGTCATAACAGCAGAGACCTTTAGACAGCTCCATAGTAGCCTACAATCCATTACTGCTTATAACCTAATCAACACATTTTGTACATAAATGAGCTTTTGTGTCAGAATTAAACAGCATACACATTTCTAATATGGTTTATTGTCAAATTTTGAGAGTCACTGTTCACATAAGGGAGTGAGTTTTTATGTTTATATATTTGCAAGTGTTTAATATCAACAAAACAATTCAAACATTTTTGCAATTTCAAAGTATTTTGTCCTGCTATAGGTTACAAATATACATGGAAATCTTCTTTTAATATCAAAGCAAAGTCCTTTAATTCACTCATCAAAAAATTTGGGCAGTTCATTTCCTAAAATGCACTTCTCTTCTGCTCCATCTTTATCAATGGTAACAACATATGCAACGCCTCCACTTGAGCCATCCCGACCCATCGCCAGAGTGAGAGCTACAGAGAGACAGAGACAGAAGGGATAGCTTTGATATCTCATAGACATACAGTCATTAAAAAGTTATCAAGAAAGAATGAGAAGCAACACTCCACAGGAGTGACTGTCCATCTTGGCAGAGATAATGTTAGAGTTGAATCAAACACATTGATCAAAGTTGCACACATGGGACTATTCTTAACACTAAGGCCACATCTAAAACATGCATGATGCCAGCTGCACATCTTTATACTTACTCAGTGCTGTACTTCTCTTGTTACACTTGACCCTGTCTCTTTAACATGTTTTTGTATTTCCACTGTAATAGTCCCCTGCCATTTCTACATCATTTACCTTTATTAGTCATTTGAACTGACTGGTCTACCATCTGCACTAAATAGAGCAGTTTAGTATAATTCGAATATATTATATTATCAGAGCCTGTTTGTAAATTGCACTGGCAAACTTACCGTTAACTACAAACTCTTGACATTCTCTCTTTGTCATGTTTTTTCGGTATTCTGCATCAACAAACCCATTAATGTAAAAACTCCCAGAGCCACCAATAGCAAAAGGTTGCCTGGTCAGCAAACCACTCAGTGTCGCATAGACCTGTTTGGAATGAGGCAGAAATGACCACATATACAATATTAATATTATTAGACTTTTTAACATGTAGTATTTAATTTGCAATGATCTTCTATGCATAATATTCATCAGTCTAGGCCTAATAAAACCAAAAATGGGCTAACCTGTCCTCCTTTTTTTTTGTCCCACCCTGCAACAATAAGATGTGCTGATAGTTCCTCTTTATATTTGTATGAAATGTTCTTCACCAGAGTGGCAGCAGAGCATACGAGTGGGTCATCTTCCACCTCAATACTGTCAAGAAACATTATTCAAGTGGATTATTCAACACATTTTTGAGAAAAAGGAAAATGTATACAGCATGTTTCCTCTGGTAGTATTTAACACCAATCAATAAGTGCATGGCCTAATAACTTAGGGTGCTTTCACCCCTGCCTCATTTAGTTTGGTTGAATCACACTAGAGTTCGTTGTTCCTCTTGGTGCGGTTCGTTTGGGCAGGTGTGAATGCAGCGATCGCACTCGGGTGCGCACCAAAAGCAGACCAAACAAGCGTACCGAGACCTATGCTTTCAAACGAACACTGGAGCGGTTCGTTTGTGCGGAGAACGTGATCCGAGCTCGAACAGACCCAACTGCAAAAAGAACTGCGCATTTCTGACGTAGTCACCTGGGTCACGTAGTCACCATTATGGGATGAGGACCAGAGTTTGTTGACAGTTTGCACTTTAGCATCCATGGCAGCTCGTGGACAAACTTGGAGTTGTGAGGAGGTGCGGAGCCTCATCGAAATTTGGTCTAATGACCATATTAAAAAAGCAGCGTCTTGTTTGCTGGCTTTTCCTCCTCTCTTTGTTTACTTCCGAGAGTTCCATTGGAATTTTCCCGCACGTTAATTCTGACCAATCGAAAAGCAGTTTAGGAATTACGTTCAAAGACACATCTGGCCAACGAGTGATGTGGATGTTGTCACGTGACTGCATTTTGGTTCATTTCAACTGGTTCGGACCAGAGCAATCAGTGTGGAACCAAAACGGCTGAAAAAATGCTACCATGTATAATTTTTTGTCCTTGGTCCGGACCAAATGAACCGAACTACAGATGTGAAAGCACCCTTAGACACAGTCTACACTCAGACTGTCCTCCAACAAAAAACGACCCTATAGGTCGTTTGAGCAAGCACCTTATTACGACCTATATTTACGTTTTAAAGTTTAGTGCCCTCTAGCGGGCGTAAAAATAATGACAGTGTCGTGTTGCGTCTGTCGTCATGAAATGACGTATGACTGTCATTACCAATCAAAATGCGTGTTTATTTAAATGCAATTTGTGGACTTTTTACATGGTCCAACCCGATCTCATGGCAATTTGTACATATTTTACTAGGTGGCTAATTCATACGAATTCGTACGAATGACCACACCTAACCCCGCCCCTAAACCTACCCTCACAGAAATCATGCAAAATCGTGATTTACAGTGCATATACATTTTATGAGCACGTGCGTTCTCTGGGATCGAACCCATGATCACATGCTTGTATATTGTCGTATAACCAGTGTTGCCAATGTAGCTACTTTGTAGCTAGATTTAGCTACTTCCCCGCCCCCTTTGAGACTTTTTTCAAAAGTTTAGGGACAAATATAGCAACTTCTTGGACAAACCATATCTAAGTTCTCATATTGCCCACTGATCTACATTCATCTTTATATAGATCAGTGAATTTGCCATTATGATGTCATCTAGTGACATTTAGCTACCAGTTTTAGCTACTTTCAATTGAGAGCAGTTGGCAACACTGCGTATAACGCCATGCTCTACCAACTGAGCTATACGAAACCCAAATTACGGCGCAGATAAAAGAGTACAAAGCATTAATATGAAAGTGTCCTGTTGTCAATAGGGGCGCAATTGTAGAATACGCTCTGATGGGTCTTATTTCAGGGATTTGGACAAACGACCTATGCGTGCGTATTGGTTGGAGGACATGTTGTCTACACTACAGGACATTGGTGATAAATACCTGTGCACATCCAGTTGGTAGTTGACAATCTCAGCAATGGTTTGAGCATCCGCTGCTGATCCAGACAGAGCACAGTAGATCTTGTCATGGAGAGGGGAGAGCTTGTTCATCACACGATTCACCACTGACTCCCTGAGAACAATTTCCAAAGAAACAGCATTTTAGTGTTCTTGGTTCAAGTATCTTGTTTTAAATATTCACTGAAAAAATGTGACTATGATTGTCAAACAATGACAGGCTGTTTGTCTTTGTGTTTTTGAAAATTCCATTACATGAGTTTATATCAGTGTTATTTTATATAAAAGCTCATACGTCTGTTATTCTGATGTTTTAAACGTTTATGAGAAAGGTTTTGCTCTTTCTGATCATTTAGGCTACATCTTCTCATAAACTACAGTGTCTCTTACCCCGCAGACACACGCGAATCTGAGCCAAGAACAACTCCACCGTCAAAAGTAACCGCGATGATGGTCGTCTAAAATGGGAAAAAAAATGCAATATCGCATTTATGTCAGATTAACATGCCAGGCATTTGTTAATAACGCATTACTTAACACGATGTAATGTTAACGTTTGCTAGAGCAAGTTACGATCTGATCTAACAGCTTTAAAATTTTGAAACTCGTTTCACTCAACCTATACGAGTTCATGCTTAAGCAGCTTGAAATAAACATCTCGTTTAAGTCTTTTATGCCCATGAGGCGATAACTCACCCCGGTTTTGACTTCTTCAGATAGCCATTCTGGCTCTGGAAACAATTCCTGCGACATTTTGAATGGATGGAAAGCAACTACACAGAAATCATGCAAAATCGTGATTTACAGTGCATATACATTTTATGAGCACGTGCGTTCTCTGGGATCGAACCCATGATCACATGCTTGTATATTGTCGTATAACCAGTGTTGCCAATGTAGCTACTTTGTAGCTAGATTTAGCTACTTCCCCGCCCCCTTTGAGACTTTTTTCAAAAGTTTAGGGACAAATATAGCAACTTCTTGGACAAACCATATCTAAGTTCTCATATTGCCCACTGATCTACATTCATCTTTATATAGATCAGTGAATTTGCCATTATGATGTCATCTAGTGACATTTAGCTACCAGTTTTAGCTACTTTCAATTGAGAGCAGTTGGCAACACTGCGTATAACGCCATGCTCTACCAACTGAGCTATACGAAACCCAAATTACGGCGCAGATAAAAGAGTACAAAGCATTAATATGAAAGTGTCCTGTTGTCAATAGGGGCGCAATTGTAGAATACGCTCTGATGGGTCTTATTTCAGGGATTTGGACAAACGACCTATGCGTGCGTATTGGTTGGAGGACATGTTGTCTACACTACAGGACATTGGTGATAAATACCTGTGCACATCCAGTTGGTAGTTGACAATCTCAGCAATGGTTTGAGCA